AGTTAGTGGATTTATAATTTCCCAAGACTTGACTGCGGTCATGCGATTATGTCGTTGCCTAGACACTTAATTTTGGGAAGGAATGACTGGAAATATGTTAAGAGAAATCTTAAATGCGGTTTAAAACGTATGCTAGCTTGTATTATTGCGACGAACCTTAAATAGCCTACGCAGTGTATTAATGCAATAAGTGCTGAGGTGATGATATTGAAACCGTAGACCTAAATAGGGAAAGACATACTCCTATTTCAGTGAGCGTTGATAGTTTTTTTTGCTTTCTTCCTAAATTATTGCATACGAGTGGATTGAAAGGCACATCCTCATAAGGATCTCCATGCGCTTAGAATTGCAACAACACTTGTGCGATGTGGGTGGGAAATTTTCCCAAAAGTATACGCTGCTATTAATGTTAAGCTCATCTTCCCAATAACCAAATTTCTCATTGCTACCAAGTCTCAGCTCCATTGACAAACATAGGAATATTGTGCTAATCCGACTTTAGAGCAAATATCTCATGATTTTTGGTGCTTCTCTTGTGTTCTTGTTATTATATCCGAATGGTTATTGAATTGTTTGCATAATAAATTGATGCGTTTGGCATTGCAAACACATATTCGCCTTTATCTTTCCTTATTACTTACTCGCCTCAATATGCGCGGATTGTGGCTTAAGCGTGGTTGCCCTATTAATTCCTTCGGCCTTGATGTACCAACCTTCCTCTAACTAAAGCGAGGATTTTGTAGGCAAATATTTGCGAGTTGAAAGCAAAATGCGTGGGAAGCATTAATCCTCCTGGTGGCATGTTCTAATTAACCTCCACGCACTCTTCCCCTCATTATAGCGCTTTACGCATTGAATTCACCAAGTTGGGAATTTTTTTTGGGTTTTTTTTTGGTTGAAGAGTGAAAATACCTCTACCGCTTGAGATGCTATTTGTGCGTCTCTTGCCTGAGCAGCTGGTGGGCACTTGGCAAATTCATCTCTACTGCTGCCTGCTTTTCTATACACTTGGCATTGATGCACCAATCTTCCTGAATGGAGATTAAATTCTTCTCTCTTCTTCATGCTTACCTATTTCACGTTTCGATTCTTGGTTATTTTATGCCAAAGTAAGGCTGACATCTTAGTGGTTACACGGCTCTCGTTCTATCTTTTTAATAGTGCTTCCAATCCGTATGAGTTAGTATTCACAGTTTGATATCACTTGAATCGCTAATCGTGATCAGAACTTACTGAACTTTCTTCTTTTACTTCTTAAGCTTCCATCTATTCTGTTCACTCCCTTTCTATCCTTACCAAATAGACACGAAATGCTCAAGTGTATCTTTGAAGAGATTGCATTTCTTCAGTCCATTTCAAATGTCTTCTCTGGTAATGCTTGAACTTTTTGAATACTATGATAAAAATTTGAACGCTACTGCAGTGGAATAGAAAAGAAAGGATACAAAGGTATCTGCTGAGTTGGGTTTAGCTTGGAGGAGTAGGAGGGGGGGGGGGGATACAATTGTCTCATCTCGCACTCTAGGCATTTTTGAGGCTCATACGTATTACCAAATTAAGAGATGCAGTTGCAGATGAACTGAAAAGTGGAAAGAAGTTGATTGGCTAAAGGGGACAATTAATAGGCTGCTCATTCCTAAATTCCCTTCGGATGAAGGGGGAGAGTCAGGAAGCCTTCCTCATGAGTAGTCAAACATGACCAGTTTAGGTTTCCATTTCGCTCTCGCTACCAAAGTCAAGCCGGTGCACAAGAGGTTGTCATGATTGGCCAAGATGCATGAAAATGCCACATCGTGTAAAGGGGGGGGAGGGGGAGGTTGTAGAGGCTTAAATCACGAATTTATGTGCAAACTTACAAGCGCATGTATAATGGGATTGCCATTCGTGTTGATCAACAAAGGTAACTGTGAGTCCCTGGTTTATGTGGAGTGCTAAATGTTTTTTTTCTACTTTTCAAGATGATTTTGTGGGAAACTTTTCCTTGTTGAGTCGGAAACTATTCAAATTCGTTTTTAAATCCAAAATCTGTTTCTTCTAGCACGGCCACATGCCTTACCAAGTAACAAGTCATGCAGATATGGCTGATGCTTTGCGCCCAGATGCCTTCTATCCGCAAATTCAATCCAATGGAGCTGTTTCCACTGATGAGGAGGACAACTCTGAAACGGACACTTCTTCAGATGAAGAATCCACAGCAAATAACAATACTAATGCAGCAATAGCTGCAGGTCGACGCAAGCCGGGTACCGTCCCCACTCATCACCACCTCCGTCGCTTGAACTACAATCCTCGAAAAAACCACCGTATTAACGGAAGCCTCTTTCACAATAACTTGCAACATATTCCTCAATCGACTAAACCCCAGCCGACTGCCCGTTTGGCCAGAGATGATGAAGATATGCGTGTCGGACCTGCCAAGGCTTGATTGACTACCAAATATATTGATATCTCTCATCCAGTCATCCAATTCTTCCTTCCCTATCTATTTTACTACCCGCCATTCTGCTGTTCTCTCCTCTTTCTCTCTCTCTCTCTCTGTCTCTAGAAGGAGCATACACAGGAGAGCAGATTACGTGTAATTGACACTGTTATTTTTGGTTTTGCCTTTTTATTATCTTCTCGCTTTAGGCTCATTTGATCAATCTTTGTCTCCCCCCCCCCCACGCCACTCTCCTATGTAACATTGCAGTTTGCTCTCGTCCACTAGCTATATCCACATTTTACATCGATCTTTAATTCTTCCACCACCCCCTCCCCTCCCTCTTCCAATCTGTCGCTCACCGCCTTTCTGTGTTTGTCGCTTGTGTCCGTCAGCATCTTGCCTCACTAATATGCTCCACTGCCAACGTGCATACAGACAATAGCGGATCGGATAGTGACTGAATAAAGTGATGTGTGCTGGGATTCTAAAGCTTCTCACTATCAACACGAATGCATAGATATGATTGTAGCCGGGCGTAGCAATTTTCATGAGTCCATTTAGGTATGCCGCGGCTGTAACATCTAGACTGAATGGGAAGAAGTATTGGTACCCTCCAACAGTTGAGATTTAAACTTAGTAAGCACGGATTTGGATAATTGAACCGATCGCTTGTCTTGTTTGCAACTGTAATAATACTGTTTTCCCTGTCATGGGCGCACAATTTCTGTTCATGGTATAGTAAAGTATTTAACTACGTAAGACCTGACTACAATTTGTGCTCTGCAGATTGCTGTAGACTCAGAAATCTTCTTTGCGGGTGTAGGAAGAGTACAATGAAAAGATTTGGTACACCACATTCAGTCTTATTTATTTGCTCTGAATAGTAATGCTAAGAAATATGAGAATGTCCACTTAATTATTACTAATCCTTTGACCTGACTGTGAGTAGTAGCAATTAAAGTGATTTGGAATTTTCAAATTGTTCTAGGGACAAATCAAGCTACTTTTGGATTTGGTCAAGATTTGTTTAGACGCGTCTCATGGTAATAACAATGCTCATAGGCTAATTGGACATATTAGTCTGTTTCCACGTTCAGATAGGTACGTATAAAATTTGATTCTGATGAAAATGGTTATAATTGCACTATTCATTCGAATTTATACTCCAATTTTTTGAATACTCAACTCTGGGGTCCAATAATATTTTGAAGTGAATTAGTATATTTTAAATTCTTGCCAGATTGACTGTTACTCATTCTACTGAAATGGTTGATTGGACATGAAGGGGATTAATTTTTTGGTTGAATACGCCAATATCTACTAAAATATTTAAGTAGAATAAAATTTATTAATATCAAATGGCAGGCGTTATGATGGTCAGCATTAGCCCTTTAGTTGACTTCAGGCTTCACGGAGGGGAAGGAACATCAAAGTGAAAAAAGTCGAGTGGAGGAGAACTGAAGAGAGTTTCAAAGACGAAGTTTGAAAATTTAGAAAAAAAATGTGATGTAGTACTGTGACTGACATACTGTACTATGACATACAGTGAGATCATGGTAGTTTGAAGTCAACTGCCGGTTAATAGACTTTTTTGCCGTATGGAAGTGATAAGTCAACTGCCGGTTAATAGACTTTTTTGCCGTATGAGTGGGTTGCCCAGGGTGCACCGCGTGGAGGTAAGTCTATCGCAACAACTGCCGGTTAATAGACTTTTTTGCCGTATGAGTATACGGTGCCCAGGGTGCACCACGTGGAGGTAAGTCTAAATATACATTGCCCAGGGTGCACCACGGAGGTAAGGTGTGAGTATACGTTGCTCAGGGTGCACCACGTGGAGGTAAGTCATCGCACACCTTGGGTATTGGAGGCGACTAATGCAACGAGGTCACATAACCAAGCCCTTTGTCTATTAACTACCTCACGAACATGGACTCACTTAAAGTACAAAGTTCGGAAGGGGAGTGTTATATTGAGCGATTCGTGGGTATGGATACTAAATGCTTCAAACAACATGTACGAAGTATCTCCAGTACACAATTGACATGATTTAAGTCAAACTTAACATTTGTGATTATTTGTGATGTCCACAATTGGGGCACTGTGGCCAGCTTCTGGCGATATGCTCTATTTATTATTTGACTGTTAGTCTATATATTTACTGCCTTGAATGTTTAGGCAACTGGAATGCCATTACACAATTAAGATAACGTTTAGTATAATATTGAGAAATAGTAGGAAAGAGTAACTTTTCCATGTCCACTGAAGGACAGGGTTTTTCTATTTACAATGAAGTGTTCCTAATCGAAACTCCAACTTTTATGAAAATCTCGCTGTTTTACTGGCATTTCTAGATTGCTAGATTGGGTCGATAGGTCCTCGATGGGCCTAAAGGGAATTTCAGAGCTAAAGGGAAAATGGGGGTCTATTTTGATGAGGATGTTCCGACTCATCAGATTACATCTCTCAATTCACTGGAGAGCTGTCATTATTCACTCCTTTTAAACCAGCACTACAAACAACAATTCACGCAACTGCACCTTTTGGTGATGTAATGATGACTCAAATGTCGTGCGTATTGTCATTTTGAGGTAACATTTATCTAAATGCTGTCATGCTAGTAGATTTCAACTTTTAGGAATAAATTGTGAAAGAAAGAGGAAAATTCGAACAATCAGGGCAATTCTTCTTCAACTTAGTTCCAGTATCATCTGGTTTACCTGGTTTCCCTAATTTCCTCAGCATTTAAGTAAGCATAAAGCCGCAATTGTAGTATTTCTCCATTGTGGCACAAGAGTCAACCGAGTTTTTTAAACAGAATGTGGAACTTCAATATTGGGAGGGGTGGGGTTGGATATAGTGATTTAAGACAAACAGTCTTCAGACCGTTTCAGCATCTTTCGATCAAGGCTATTTATGATAGGGAGTAGGAGTAGAATTACTTGAATGTTCAATGGCGTTTCTCTGATTCTTTCGTTGTTTATTGGGAACATTCAAAGCAAATTTTTGAAAACGGCTTCGATTCTTGTGTGGAAAGACATCGGCCGGTCCATGCATTGCAGAATCGTTGACCCCTTCTTAGCAAGTGTGTCAACAAGCTCATTACCTTTAATGCCACAGTGACCAGGAATCCATTGTAGGACCACTGTTTTGTTTTTCTCTCTCAGCAGCTCATAGAGTTTTCTACATTCCTTTATCTCAGCTGTTTTGGGTGGCTCTCTGTTTCCAATAGAGTTT